AAAAACAAAAAACAAAACAAAAAACAAAAAAAGGCCACATTTGATTAGAAAGCTGCCACTTTTCTCCAACTTACCTGTGACTGCTTCTGGTGTTGGTAGCACCAACAGTGAATTTAAAGAACAATTCAGAAAGGTCAAAAACAGTAGTCGCTGTCCCAGTCTCCCCAAGGCTTTTCTTCTCCACATCCGCATGAATCCAGATCAGGCAAAAGACTCCACACAGTAGTCAACTCACCACTATGTGACAGGAAATACTCCAAGGAGTCTTGGGTGCAAAAATAATTTTTTGCAAACAGGTAATCACCACAGTTTCAGGATTCACAGCTCATGACCATAGGTGAGGGACGTAAATCAGTCAGTAAATTGAGAGCTTTGCTTTTACACTCCACTCTCTCTTCATCACAACAGACCCAGCTCTTGCAACGGTTGTATAAGGATTAAATAGCAATGGGCCAGAGACTCCGTATGGATATTTGATCAAGAAACACTTGAAAGATATTTTTAAAAAATATCTGCCCTGATTAAATTGTATTACGGTTTTTAAAAAAGCTTTATGTTATATCTCATCTTGCTAATTCAAGTCTTTGTTTTGCACAGCAAGATTATTTTAATTGACTAAAATTAACTAACTACTAAGACTACATGTGAAATCAAATACAAATACAAACTAAAACTAGATTTCACATTTAAAGAAAAACAGATTTAATGTTGTGAACTAAATTAAAATGAAAACATGGAGAAAGTGTACTCAGTTTTAGTATTTGTAATCTCACAGTACTGTAAACCACATTTCTAGGATGTAGCTTGTACTAGAATGTGTGTGAATGTCAGTTGTGCTTGTGCGAATGGGTGTGAATAGGTGAATGAACAAGTTGTGTAAAGCGCTTTGAGTGCTCAGAAGAGTGGAAAAGCGCTATATAAGAACCAGTCCATTTACCATTTACCATATTTTGTTAGTTTTACTCTCACTGTGCATGTGTTTTGAGCTGTGTGGAAATTATGGTGTAAATTATGCGATGTGTAGTTACAGGTGTGCTTGATTTACATTCCTGCCTCTGTGCTCATTTGCGAGGTCACCAGCAGGTTCTCAGAGATTGTACTCCAGAATGTATTTTTCAGTGGAAAAACTTGCAATAGAAACAGTTTGTATTTATTTCAGACTTTTTAAAGATGGAAATTCAATTCAGACGGACGTGTGAGACGGACAGAAGATCGTGTGATTTGTTGCATTTTGTGGTTTATTTTGTCAGCATGGTTACATTTGTGTATTTAATTTGGGCGGACTATAATATCAATATAATGTTGATTGGCATACATTTTAGGGCAATGTTTACAGTGACAACCTGATCTGGCTTTGTGCGGTAATTCTCAGACATTATTTTCAGATGTTTTCTTTCCACATGTGGAATATAGTCATTGTTTTTAACCCGTGAAATTTAATTTGCAAATATATAAACATGAACAACACGTACGATAATTATAATCAAAACTACATACTTAAATTTAATGTCCATGTGAGTGTTTTCATGGTGTCAGTTGGAGTTCATGTATTTCATGGAAAAATGCCAAATAAAAAGCTGGAATAGAAACCTCTATATGATTGTGTTTCACACGGTGTGGTTTAGGAGTGGGTTGTCGACTAATCTATAGGTTTGTAGTTTGATTCCTGGCTCCTCCAGTCTGAATCTGAAGTGTCTTTGAGTGAGATGCCAAATTCTGAATTTTCATTGATTCAGCTATCAAAGTGTTCGGACAGAGCAGTGATACCCGAACGTCCAGTTCCAATTTGTGCATGTATACTGGGAGTCTTCTTTACACAGAGGAGGTAGTGACAGAGTAGCACAGGCTTCTGTACTGGGAACAATGCTTTTTACATGACACTGCATAAGTTTT